CGCTAGTAGTAACAGGTGCCACGCTAGTAGTAACAGGTGCCTTACTACTAGTAATTCGACGTGTTGGAGGTCCAATCGGTGTCATATGATGGGGGAATGCCGCGGTGATGGGCGTTTCTGGAAGCACTGATGGGTACCACCACGGGGCCCCGTGGTGAGTGAAACCCCAGGGATCCAGTCGTTCCGTCTCAGGTTCGGTACGACTGGACCCTCCAAACCCGTACAGAACAGTGTCGGACATCACCTCCTCAGAGGGTATGTGCATCCCTAGGGGAACAAATGAGAGTCAACATCGTGTGTGACTGCCATGGTGGTCACCCGAAAGAAGGAGAAGCCGCGGTTGATCTTGGCTGTGATGGTCTACTGGTTCCCAAATGGATGTGTTTGTTGTAATGTTTGCATTTTTTCTCATGGATCCACATGCCTTCTGAGGTACGGTGATTGGAGACTATTTATGTAGGCGCCAGGAGGGTCCAATGACCTTCTGAGAAGGTGGCAGTGGATCCGGGTTTTTTGTTTTACTTGTTTATAGAACTAGTGGATGATGGGCCCACCGTTTTATATCTATAAAATGGCTAGTCAAAGACTCCCTCACCCATTTGGTGATCGGTATCACATGGTCTTGACACATGGCAATCGGAGTGCCGTTCTATCCCCGACTCGCTGACTCCACCGCTTGGGCAAGTCACTTAGGCACTTCTTCAGATGGTGCCAGTGCCTCAGCAATCAGCGTCAAGTATGACACCGAAGGGTCTCAACCTGCGCCCTCGTGGTTGTTTCTATGTTTGAGCCTCATCCAGTTGGTTGCATCTCAGAATTGGTTGATCTAAGAGAACATTTACAGGACACCCATAGTTGTGGAGGTGAAAACCGTCGTTTCCTCTAGATTTCTTGAACCGATGCAGTTGATTCCATGTTGCTTCTTCGCTCGCTGGTTTCAGCTCCATCGCTTAGGGTCTTCGAGTGCTTCCCCATCTTTGACATGATTCAATGAGCTTCCCCACAACAATACAGTCGTTGCTGTTGGTTTCACAGCAATCGCCAAGATGCCGCTGTTCGAGGTCCAAAGAATCCATCGAGACGGACCTTTGGCCCGTTCTCCGGCGTTCGACCGGACTGCTGGGATACCAGATCCGTGCGGGGCCCCAGGGGCCCGGGCCGAAGGCGGCATCTGTTTGGGGGCTTCTTGGAGAGCAGATCTCAGGGCGAAGGAGTTTGAAGGATCTATAAACAGCAATGGTGTCAAGATGTGCCAAACTTATCATGCTTGGTTCCAAGGTGACTATTTGCTAGTAGCTAGCCGGCGCCGGAGCGCTTGCTCCAAGTGGTTGAATTCTTTCGATGAAGCAACACCGAGCTCATCCTGGCGTCGGAGAGCCCTTGGTGGCTGAATCAAAAAGACCTGCGGATGTGTGGCATGTGATTTGGAGATTGGTGACTGACTCGCAAGCAAATCTGGTGAGTTTGTTGGAGCCAGATTGGTGTGAAAACAGCCAGATCTATGACCGTGTTAGAATGATATATTTTTTTGATTAGCAGCTGAGACTGCTGCATCTGTTATTCAAGACTCCGCACATTCCAAGCTCCTCCAGTGTGACTGTTTCGAGCTCCTTCCGAATTTGTTTAAAAAGAACTGAAGGCGAAGTGGTGGAAGGGTCGACTTCCTCCTCCTTGGAGGACTTCGACTTTGATGCTCTCGGAGAGGCCTGGTGCTGTGTCATTGCCTTGGTTGTTTGAGAGTAGGGCGCAGTCTAGAACATGGAACATGGAAAAGCTTGTGCTCATGTACCGAGGTACGAACTGAGATTCCAGGTATTTCAATATGCACAGCATTGCACAGCCCTATATATAATAATGGTGTTTTTTGACGAGAAGTCGTGATGAGAAGTTCAGATTCAGCGGGCCACAAGGGGGACTTGCAAAACATTTGGCACTATGCATTGCTATGCATTTCTGCAATCATTTCAATGGCAAATTCGCTTTTGCTCTTTGAACCCATCAGATCATTGCGCCAGAAGAAACGACCGGTCAACATCCACCGACTCGACCAAGGGTCGACCGGGGGGAGCGACCCTTGTCAGGTCTTCTACATTTGTGCTGCCAGCAACTTCCAGGATGTGGCCTTTTTCGAATCCAGCCCCTGGCCCTGGCGGATGTTTTTTGTTCGCACGTGCTTGTCGCAAGACATGGTCGCACATGTGACATCTAGACTCTAGACATGAAGATCAGCCTGTTTCGGATTGGACTTACTGGAGAAGTAAATCCAAGGCAGATCGCCAGAACAATACTTTTGGCTGAGAGAAGTTTTTTACATAGATTGTGTAGTACAGGCCGCACCTTCCCAGAACAGTCCATCATTTCTCTCTCAAGGAAGATCCATTGCTTGCTTGTTGCCTTAAATTCAGCTGAAGAAAGAAATCACAAGATCTTGAGGATTCTTGACATGTTCCATGTTCTTCACCTCTATCCTGGATGTCCCAGCTATCCCCAATCGAAACAATCCCTGTCGAGGCGAAGCGTGGCTCCTGAAACAGCACCAATCGACGGAGTTCAAGGTCAGCTTCCGAGGTCCTAGATGAGAGTCGATGGCGTGTAGTAGTAGCGGTGGTAGTAGTAGTAGTAGTAGTAGTAGTAGTAGTCAGTAGTAGTAGGGCCCCCACTCTGTTGGCTGGTTTTGATGGACACCCCCTTTTGTTTGCTTTCATCATATCTAGTCATCAGCCCATCAACACCTGAAGGGTTTTGAAGGCTTTCACTGTGCCATCGATTCCCCATGGTCGAATCTGAGGGACCGGTGAGACGGGTAGTCGCCCTACCCAGGAACCAAGTGGATGCCGTTGGCAAGAGCCTCTTTTTGGGGGGGATTGATGAGCTTCTCCACTAAACAAGAACTAACAAGAACAGGTGGCAAGTTCGCTTCAGAAATTTTGTTTGCATAGAAACGGCTCGGGCGTCAGTGACCTTCTCATGTGAATCCAAGGGCCCAAGATCGCCGGCAATCCTTCCCCGCCTCCCGAGCGAACCAGTCGAGCGACCGCTCAGCCCTTGACTTTGGTGCATCTTCTCCACTCCGCAGCAGTGCTTCGAGTGGGGGCCACAGGTGTGATGCAGTTTTGTTTGTTAGCTTCTTTGTTACTACTAGTAAGGCACCTGTTACTACTAGCGTGGCACTTGTTCCTAGTAGCTTCTTTGTTACTACTAGTGCTTTGGAGGATTGATGAGGATTGCAGTCTTGTGCTTTGGAGGCAGATGTCTTGTGCTTTGGAGTGAGATATTTGTTGGCCCTTTGTAGTGTTGAACATTGGAAACAAGGGCACTGATCCAACTCTAATATTATGTTGGGCGATGGCAGCCATACATGGCCAACCATCAAATAGTTTTTTTTGTGAAAAAAAAGTGCAAAAAAAAGCAAAATAAAAGCAAATGAACATGCAAAAACAAAGCAAAAAGCAAAAACAAAGCAAAACAAAAAGCGAAAAAAACGCGAAAAACAAAAAGCGAAAATAAAGCGAAAAAAATGCGAAAATAAAGCGAAAAAAAGCGACAAATATGTTTTTGCTGTACCCTCCTAGGAAAAAAGCGAAAATAATGCGAACAAAAATGCGAAAATAAAGCGAAAAAAAAGTGAAAAAAACGCCACAAATACGCACAGCTACATTTTTTTTGCTTTTTTGTTTGCTTTGCCTTTTCCTTTTTTTTGCTTTGTTTTTGCTTTATAAAACTATTTTGGCTCCTTGTATCTATGGCTGGCGTGCCCAACATAACTCTAATAATTGCATCCTCCGGCCCAAAGCACTCATCATTTACCGTTCTTTAAACACAACATGTGCTACCTATCTGGAGTGCATATATCAAGGGTTTTTCAAGAAGAGATAGGTAATGTTTAAAATACATGTCTTCAAAGGGAGGCCTGCAGGCTTCTTGGATCAAGGCCAAACTCATGTATTAATAACAGTGGATACCCGAATTCTGGCAGCAAAATAACAATGTGGATTGGAGCATGTTTGTGTTTCTCAATGCGTTTCATTCTATATACAAAAGACCTTGATAGATCACACCTATTCACTTTTTTATGTTATCGCCAAGGCAGAGGTAAGGGGGATATTGTTACCATATGTCTTTCATAGCAGGGAACGAACACGAGAAGCAACGTGAATCATGTTTCAATTCTTCCCTTTCCAGTCCTTTTAAGCCAGTCCTTTTAAAGACGATGGCCAGTCTCCTCCCTCTTGGCCCCACTGGCACACCCGAAGCGCCTGCATCCGTCCGACCGGCAGCGCCCCCGTGCCAAGCGCCAGGTGGCCAAGGGTCGACTGTTGCACCTCTTGGTCGCTGCCTCGGTGCAACGGATCAACCACTTCGGAGCCTTCGAGGTGCGGCGGCGGTGCGAACGGCGGGCGGTCACGTGAAGAGATGGTGTCACGGTGCGGCCGAAAGAAGGGAGGGAGGCCCAGGGAGGCCGAGGGAGTGAGGGAGGGTTGCTTTTATCATCATGTGACATGTGTTGTTTTTTTGACTAGGAGGCTGTGGCAGGGCAGTGAATTGGTTGAAGAGCACAAAAGTTTGATATATCTTGCTTTTGATCAGGTGACATGTGCGGTAGGTTATGTGATATAGTTATACAATGTTGTATATGTGCTCCTATACTTGTACCTTTTTTGTTCGGCGCAGGGAAAAGGTTTGGGATGACCACCCGGGGTGATTTTGGAAGTCCGGATGGTTGGAGAGGCACTTCGGGAAGGGGAAGGCTTGTAAATTCCTGGAATGGCGCATGTTTGCTCCACCAGGGAGTATTTGGAAGAAACACAAGAGCACTGCGTGGAAACAGAGAGTGCAGCTGGAGGCTGTTGGAGGCGCTGAACATTGCCGCACCCAAACCTGTTGAAGAGGGCGCTCTTTTTTTGTTTATAACCCCTAGGGCTCCAACTAATATCCTCAGCACCCACCCCAACCACCTGGGAATGTGGGCCAGGAGCCCAAACGGGAACGTTTTGAACAGAGTCCGCCACGAGGTGCTTGGCTTCCTGGATGCCGCCGCCCTTCTACAGAGAGAGGCTGATCAGGTTGGGGCGCGGAACCGCGCCTCGGTGTCGACGCGTTTTTTGGGGTCAGACGTGGAGCGTCGTCGGCGCGTCGCATGTCTCGTTCAGTATCGGAAGACCCGCGAGATTCTCAAGACATGCAGAGGATTTATATACCATGGGGTACGGGGTGATGGTGCGATCATTCAATTCCTCTGAAAACAGAAGTGCAGGTTCCTGGCATTTGTTGGAAGGCGTTCACATGTGTTCACCAAAGAAGCATTTGTTTACTCAAGATTCTAGACTACAAAACTGGGTCAACCATTCTTGAAATGGTCTTTTGAAGGCTAGGGAGTTTAAAGTACTCCTGGCTTACAAGTGTGCAACACGGGCATCAACCCACGTAAGAGATAGGGGCCCCAAAAAACACCATACCCATAGCCACATACGACAGTCCATTTATGCCCATGTTTACGGTACGCAATGCATATACCAACCAAATACTGTTGCGCCCTTTCCAGCAACCGGCAAAACCGGGAAATCCCATTGCTGTGGTTCTTCCGTGCTTCCGCCGAATCGGTCCAATCGGTGATGGAACGGTTCCGAAGCGATAGCTCAACAACAATTTTGCTACACAGTCAGACCCCCCGGCCAAAGGATAGATCTGTGGCACCGTGGACATGATTCAAGCCGCATGATAGTCAGTGATAGGTCATGTCTATCGCAAAGTCTAGCTCGAGACTCTACTAGGAGGATCGAGAGTTCTAAATCTCAGCATGGCATTTGCATGGTAACTTTTAGAGATTTCAGAGAACTTCGAAGTGTAGTTTGCAGCCTGTATCTCTGCGCTGACCCCTTTGTGTGTGTCATTTATGTCCATGATTCTGTGCTGACAACTTCTTACCTCAATTATTGCTCATCTGCCTTTGCCTGGACAGCACTCAAAAAACATTGAGATCATCTGAGGTCCATATCCTTCAAGCGAACACTCTTCTTGGTTTGACCTGCTTCAGTTCTTTTCATCGCTTTTCATGCTTTTTTTGAAGGTCGAAAGCACCTGTGGAACTTCGAATTGTCAAAAGCTTCCAACTTCCAGCCACAACTCCCCCAGTCCCCGGTCCGACACGGTCCCGCTCCCCGCCCTGCAGCCCTCCCCGGCGGAGTTCCTGGAACACGTGGAAGGGCCACCGCCCTCCGGCGTGGGCGTGCGGGCACTCGGTGGAGGGATGGACTGGGCGCCCATGAATTGGTCAAAGGAGCTGATTTGGTGAGGGACTTCAGTTTACTGAGTCTTTGGATGTTTTTTTTTCAGTGTTGTTTTCCTGATTGGATCTACATCACACAAGAAATGAGACCACTATTTCGGTAGACACCTGAGTCTATTTCCATTTAGGTACCTGAGAGCAGAAAGACGTCTTGGACAAACAGACCGCCCTGAAGCCGAACTTTTGGGCCATAATTTATGGACCAAGAGAGCAAAGACCGGACGAGCGATTCTTGGTATTTGGATGTATTTGGAGACGTCTGCCCATTTGGAGCGATACATTTGCGGTCAGTGTGCAAAGATGAAACATGGACCTTGCCGAAAAAAGCAAGTTGGTTGCATTGGTGATTGGTAAAGATGTTTGATGGTAGACTTTCTTCTTGACCTGAGTTCGTGGGCTTGCGTTCTCGATTGTGTTATAGTTTTTTTGAAAAAAGACATCAAGACTTGCTTATAGTTTGATGTGAATTCCAGTCCTTTCTGGGAACATTTTGGTACTGTTCGTTGGACACCGAGCATTATACTCAAAAAAACATATCCCAATTAGGACATCGGTTTCTCCAAGACAGAGACAATGTCATCGGTCAACACGGACACATGCGGGGGACCTCGCCAACTGCGGATCCCTGCCGCCCCGTCGGCAGGAGGAGGCGCTCCAGGAGGCGTTGGCTCGGGTCGTCGCCGGGGCGCCCGGACGTCCGGGCGCGACGCCAGCGGACCGGAGACGGCGCGGTGCGGACTGGTTGGCAGGACCAACACACACCCAAAAGAACCGAGAGTGCATGAGCTTTCCGTAGAGGCGTGAGAGAGACAAACGGTGCGGAGAACACCGCTGTTTTGGTCGTTTTGTTTGTGTTGCCTTATTTTGCGGATGTTTGTGGTCGTTTGCACGGAAAACTGGGTCATTGACCAAAACTACCATAATTTATTGGTCGTTGGAAGGTCCAGGAGGTTGCTCCTAGGCCCGTGTGAAATGTCAACGACTTTGGACACAGTTGCATTTGGAAAAGATGTTTTTGCAAATCACTGGCCTGGTAGGAAGATGAGGTCTCCTTCCAATCAAACATCCAACATCATCCAACCATATTGAACCAATTATATTGTACCAGCACCTTCAAAGGGGTCACCTGGCTGGAAGCCCCTACACCACTAAGGGACCTCCATTGGACACTCCTTGAAGGTCCAAGTATATTATGTGTATATATTATATATGGGTATGGATCGTTCAACCATGTTCGCCCGATGGTCGTCCACCATGTGCAGGCTTCACGACCGACACCAGGTAGGTTGTTTTCATGCCGTCCCAAGGTTCCCAACAAGTTATGCCACAGGTTCCACGAATGTCACAGCGTGGACTTTGACTTGGACCACTTGCACTTAACCTTTCATGATGTACAGTAGACTGTTGATGATATTTCAACGTTATAGATATATAAAACATGAAAAACGGTTGCAGCCCTCTGAATCCCTCGGCCTCCACTGGCCTCCACTCCCTTAAGCCTTGAAATTCCAGGCCCTTTTGCCTTCTCTGGATGACGATGAACTGTGCCTTGGATGTCCCGTCGCGATTGCCTTCCACCGTATTTTTTCAGCCGTGTTGAAAGCAAAAAGATGTCTACGGCATACTAGGAAACAAAAACCATCCTTGTTTATTTGATGTGTTTGTTTGTCAATCTGTCACAGGCTTCGATTCCCAGCACCAATTGCTGGTCCCAACACAATTCTGCACGGAAACTGGCAGTTCTTCTCACGCACGACAACTGCTTCACCGCCGGTCGAAACGCCCCGGACGCTCCTCGGACCGCTGCGATCGGACCGGACGCGCTCGGACGGACCCAGGCGACCCTTCGTCCCGCTCTTGCGGTCCATGCGCCTTCCCTCAGGTGGCGTGACCGTCCGTGTGACGGACGGTGGGTGGCTGGCATCACCGGCGTTTTTCAGAGAGTACGGTGAGTCTGAGGCCCTAGGTCAAACAGGTTGGTTTTCTTCCCATGTGGGTCTCGAAACAAGATGGTTTCAGTTGTTTTCAACGTGCTATTCTTGTGCCCTGCATTTACAAGAATTGTTTTTGCGGAGCTATGATGCCGAACGGTGGAGAAAGTCTAGTTCAGATTGTATTTTGTTCCATGGGGCCAAAATGTTATTGCGAACCACGTTGGCTAGATAGAACAATGTGGACGCCTGTTGGACGGGCTGATATTGAAAATTCCAAGCCAGTTATACCACATGGTCACGTCACGTATAGTGACTGCCGGGGATCTTGACGGCCTCCCTCATGGCATCTGCACACCCTCACTTGTTTCCACGAGTTCCCAAAAAGAGAATCGGCACTCATCCCTCTCCCGGTCCTTAAGGGGAAGAGTTCCGGCTGCCGCTCTCCAGCTCCGTGGAGTTTACAACCACCCACCTCCACGAAAACCAAGGAGTCTCGATGATCAGCCGACCGACCACCAGGACCGCGAGCGGAGCGCATCTACCAGGAAGCGGCTGATCGCGGACTGGATGAAAAGAAACAGTGCAGCGGCCCAGCGTCTCAACGTTTCAGGGAGTGTCACCTGTAACAGTTGATTTAAGATGATCATATAGTTCATTATAGTTCCACGATTTTGGAGAAATGCCTTTACTATCATCCACTGTTACTCGGAATGGGATATACGTGGATAACCAGAAACATGTGGGACTGAAACAGCAGCCTAGCCGGCACGAACGGCCGTGTCGCTTATTTGTGTCGTCCCTTTTGATCCCTTTTGTTTTTTGTTTAAAGTGGGGTTTGAGATTTGGACGAACTGTAGTTGAGCCGTCGCCGTAGGCACGGCAGGTACAAACCCTAGTGACCTTCTTTGATCCAAACAGGAATATACGATCATTTTGTATCCATGCCAAAGGACTCTAAGTGAGGCCACTATGACCAGATCCGCTCAAGCCACTCAAACATGCGGTGATCGCAAAGGATATCCGTTGGTTTGATTCTTTCCATACAGTAGCTTCATTCAACAAGGGCCTAGACCGGTTGGGTGTGGATTCTCCCGTTCAATGACATTCCAAGCTTCACCCGCTGACTGGCTGGCTTCCAGCACCCGGAGGTTCCAATGAACTGAAGGCTCTTGGACTGTCCCAGATCTTTCATTTGGGTTAGTTGTGTACATGGGATCATCCAACCATATCCAACCACACCTACTTCTTGCTGGGAAGACCTTTTTCAAGGCAGGCGTTTCGAAGAGAGACGGTCGGACTGGGACCTCGGCAGGTCGGCAGGTCGAGTCCTTGACCATCTTTTGGAGTTGCTTCAAACATGCGAGCAAGATGAGACAAGAAGCACCAAACGCAGACTGTCAGAAGACTCAAACAAGCTGCGAGCCACAAAAAGCAAGCACAGAAAGCAAACCGCCTCCGAAGTGTATGGTGGACAACATTCTCCGAAGTGTAGGGGCGGTTCAACGTTTCCGGGTGGTCCACCGGTAGTTCACGGTAGTTCACATCGGTCGTTCACACGGGACTCACGATCACCACGGATCACCTGCCCAGCTCGCTGAGCGAACCTCGCATGGAGCCATGCGCGGGGCAGCTGTCCGTGCGGGTGCCCGGATGTGTGTTCACCGCGTTCTTTTTGTCAGCATTGAAGGGATGACGCAGGGAGGACGTAGGTCTGTCGATGTGTCGTTTCGGAGCGTGGAGTAGTAATATGTGACTGTGATCAATTGGACGTGGATGTGACTGTGTAGAAGTTTTATATAACTCACAAGACCTCCCATTTGGATTGAAGCACCTCTTCATCTATGGCGCTTCCCGTCAGACCCGGGACTCAGCCCAGAAAGGACCAGCTGAATAGGTTAGATAGCTTAATCATGGTATATCATGGTTAATATATGTCAGTCTGGTCCAAACCTCAACCACCAAAGGTTGACGATGTTTGGCGGTCTCCTTTGTTCAACCAGTTGGCCTCCCTGGTACCATGACTCACATTCATGTGACTGTGTACCTTGAAATCGGGAGACCTGCCAATCTGCAAAAATTGGCCAAAACCATTGGTTGGGACACCATCCCCATCAGATGCACACCCCAAATGTTCAGAGGTCTCATAGTGGAATATTTGGTTCCATCCCAGACATGTATGGAATATATGCCTACATTGGGGTGGTTTGGGGGGGTCAATGTAGGCATATATGGCATACATGGAGCGATTGGGCATGGTCGTTTTCAATCACCGCTTTGGGCGCCGCGAATGGCCCTTGAGAACCGAGTGCCGGCACTTCCGAGTGCAGACGGCAGACGGGTGCATGGTGCCCGGAGGATGCGCCATGGACTGAAGACCAAGGATCTATTTGGGAATCACCATGATCATAGAATGTTATAGAGGCCTTGCTCATTCCTGAATTATGAGGGCGGAGCATGGCGGAGCGAGGGAACAGATATAAGATATAAATTATACAGATTGCTCGAGGCATTGATAGTAGACCCTTTGCCACAATTGGAACCTCCCCGAGATCATGAGTGGTGGCTCCCAGACAACCTTTTACAACGACTGGTTCCATGATTCCTCAGTGCAGACAGCTGAGACGTGGAAAAATCTGAAGTTGGCAGGTTCTGGAGGCCATCGCTCTTAGGTTCTGGAGGAAGAATGTTTAGAACGCAAGTCTTGCGCACGTGTCCACGTCGCACTGCGCAAGGCCGGGTGCTCCAGACGGCCGGGCACCACAAGAGGGGGAGTGGACTTTGTTTCACAGCACTGTTGAGTCGAGAAAATCGACCACCTCACCCTTGCTGCCACACAAAACGGGGATGTGTCGTCAAGAAACAGGAGGCGTTTGGAAGAAGTCTGGAAACGTGGCAAACATGCCCAACCTTTTTGGGGGGAAGAAGGTGTTCCGGTCCAATGGGTGGAAGACCCAGGTCAGTTGGACCATGTGGACTGTTGAAAGCCCTTTTAGTGGAAGTCCTACCCAAAAACACTACTCAATGAGGTGTTCAATGGTCTTCAGGACCAGGCTTTCGTGGACTGGACCAGGCTCGGGTTGATCGCTTAGGATCGAAACGGCATCAAAAGGAGGAGGTTCTTCGCCTACTGAGCCAGGCTCAGCGCCTTTCGCTGGCTGCAGGCCGGGGCCAGGAGTCCAATGAGTCCGATGGGTTGAGGTATGCGACGCCCATGAAACATGGAAAAGTGATGAACAGTTCAAGCGAAGCTCTAAGAGATCAGTTATAGCGAGGCTTTGGGGTACAACCTCGTAATGGCTCTTCAGACAGACCGGTAGAAAGCCAGACAGCAAGGGTTCACAGAGAATCACCTGAAGGTCACAATGGTTGTCCTGGGTGAGGTTTGCTTGAAACATCGTGAACTTCAAGTGAACTTCGTGAGCCACAAATTATCCCTGTCGTTGTCCCTTGATGGCCCCAAACGCTGGTTTCCAATATGAAATATGGCCTCTATCCACCACCGCAAAAGCACCAAGAACATGCCAGGATCCACCTGTTTGGGTGTCCTGTCTGGAGATCCATAAGTAGGTGACACAGAACGGATGATCTAGGTGTAGCGGTGACTCGGTGGGCTGAGGGACTGCAGTCCCAGACAGGTCTCGGCTGAGGGACTGCCTGAGCTCAGCTGAGCTCGGCGCGGCCGATCGGCGGCACCAGGTGAAGGTTGGCGGCCGATCCTGCCACTGCCCGAGGGGATTGGTACCCAGTGAACAGTGGATCACCTTCCACTGCCTGAACTTTAGGGGATCGAGGACACCCCACTCAACATGAACTGAACCTCCGCTGTTGATGAGCAGAAAGCTGGTGAAATTATGTTTGTTTGCAGCCAGCATCTCCGTGCTTTCGGAACACGGGTCGCGTTGAAGAAAACCCGTGCACTTAAAACCCCTACGCGATGCTACACATGTGTGAAACCGACTGTGCAAGTCGGTGCTAAATGGTGTTTGCTGAAGTTCTGTCATCGACTTTCCTCACCGAAGAGTGAAACGGAGCGGCGTTGCGGCTTTGCGGCGTCGATTTTCTCTGTGGGCGTCCTTAGGTGGGAGCAGCGCTTTGCACGCAGCCATGCGCTCTCACAAGGCTCAGCAAACAGGAGATTTGTTGACCTGAGGGAAACAAACAAATTGAAAAAACAATTTGCATGTTCAACGAGTAGGTGGTGTTTACATGTTGTTCACCACGCTAGCGACGGTGATATATTTTGCTTTTAAGTGAATTCTGTGATACTTGTTCCCCTATGATTTTGCATATTTTTGCATATAGGGTTTGATTGACTTAGCCAAGACCCACATATATCAATATGTCATCATTCAACAAGTTTCATACACGCGTGCTGGTCTATCGAGACAATTGTATGTAATCGAACGTGCAATGATTCGATGCTTGCACACAGTATATGCTTTGCTTTGCTGATTGGGTGATGCAATCTGTGTGTCCCATATTTTCTCTATAACCCTACAAGTGCCTTTCTTGTTCAGCTCCAGCAAACATCACCCCCCCCCCTGCGTGTACATGGTACATGGGCAGGGCGGGAGCAGGTCGGGAGAAGATCCGGCTCAACGAGTCGGGGGAAGAGCGGACGAGCGTCCGGCGGCTGAGACCTCGACGTCGTCCTCGCCGTCTTGGGATCGATCTAACTCTAACAAAGACGAGGAGAAAGCTGATGGGATCTGCCAAGGTGCTGTGAGTCGGTGGTGGAATTCTGGTCGATGTGGTCTTCTCCGAGCCGCCCATGAGTTCATGGGAAAGACATTGTAGGTGCCGTGTTGCCAAGGTGCCTGAGCGCTTCTCAGAGCTGCCAATCTCAGAGGAGACGCAGCGCGCACTGCTGGGAACACCAAGCCAGCTGCCAGCTAAACTATCAGTACTGCATTTCATATATAGTGCGGTGATCTGGGAAGATACTCGAAGTTGCCTTGAATCTGTGACGAAAGGAAGGAGCAATATGGAGCTATCGCTTTCAAGAGCTCCTAGGTCGACCGCTATAGCATGCTATAGCTGTCTTGAATCAAGGTTTGCATGATCCCTGGCATGTTGGCATGCCACATGACCGAGAGAAGTTCTGGCACCGAAGTAGTTCTGGCACGTACCACGTGGCGCCAAGGCATGAGGTCTTCGGCTATCATGAGATGTCGAAGGTCCAGGCACAGGCGGGAGCCGACATCGTCGGGAGGCGGACACGGCGGCGCGTACCGAAGTATGGCGCCACCTGATGTCATTAACTCCACCTTTCTTTAGTAGGAGCAAGAAGCTACTAGGGGCTCCTGGCCTTACTACTATAGGAGCAAGAAGCTACTAGGGGCTCCTGGCATCGCTACTAGGAGCAAGAACGCTACTATCGGGTGGTAGATGGTGGTTGGCTTGTTTTTTGAGTCTGAAAGTCGTCCCAGTGACACGAGGTCACGTCCACTGACTCACGTCCCTCTCGGAGTTTTAGAAAAGGAGGTCTTTGATACCCCCAAGATCCCCCAAGTATGGAATGGAGGCTACTTAGGTACCCATGGTTTTTGCATGTCTGCAATCAAAGAGGTGGCATGGGAGTCCCATTGTTCCCTCACTGGTGTCACCGCTCGACCGCTCCAGACTCAGCAGGTGATCCCTGAGGCCTTGGCAAAGAACCAAGACTTG